AGCTATTCTGATCTGGAACTCTTCCTGTCATTAACAGTTGGAAAAGACAAAGAAAAACGTGTAATACATTAGTGATAGATATTGTACTAGATGACTAATTTACCTATTAAAACGAGCAACATGTACTAATATTGTACTTAATGCTTCATTGACCTACCAAGAAAAAATGTAAAACATACAACATACTGTACCAGATATTGTATTAAATGCCCGATTTACCGCCACAGGGCTAGCCAGTGGACAGCCACAGATAACGGGCAGGTCTCCCTACTGGATGGGCCATGCGGGAGGCGTCACTCTTTCTGTTTTTGGATCTGGTAAGTAGTCACACTAATATGCGACTCTTATATTTAGTACTAGTTGGGTCATGGTTGGGAACACACTCAGAGAAAGATTGAGTGAATGAGACAGAGTGAGGGAAAAAGGAGAGATAGAGAGAGCAAACACTATATTCTTCCTTAATTTCCTCCAGGCTTCAGCGAAGACATGTTCAGCCAGTTCGACCCCACGCTTGGCAACATCGTGAAGCTTGTGAACGAAGCCGAAACCATAGACTGCGAGGTCATCAACTATCTGTCCAATACGAACAAAATCGTCTGCAATACAGGGTAACGCATTTCAAACAATCATGCAAAATCATGATACATGATGTACATAAAGTCAGGATAAATGATGTACATATACACATACAAAATAAATTATATATATACACATCATACAGGCATACATATATATACGTGTGTGTGTGTGTGCATAGGCGTGTCTGTAAATGTGTGTGTCTGTGTGTGTGCGTGTGTGTGTGTGAGAGAGTGTTGCATTATATATAGAGAGAAACACACACACACACACGCACATGTACTTGTATTCATGAGCGTTTGCATGTATATTACGTTTGGATGTATATAGATATATATTAGATTAATATATGCAATAATAGATTAGTAAACACATATATGTACACACACACGCATATGTACATACACATACATATTTACATACGTGTATACATACATAAATATATACATACTTATACACATACATAATACACATACATAAATACACACACATGTATAGAGTGCAAATATACGTTACGCCCTTCTCCATTCTACATACGGACATGTATTTATACATGCATGAATACATACAACCATACCTGTGCACACATACATACACATTTACATACACATACACACACACATGCAGGCATGCATATGTAGAATTTAAACATACGGTTTGGCCTTCTCCATTCTAAACCACACAAACACACATTAATACTAATAATAAAACATCAGGAAAATGCAAACTCACAGACCTTTCCAAGACAGCTTTCGCGAAGAGAAGTAAATTAGTCTAAAACGACCGGCTCTTTCCCTTGCAGACCGAGAACCAACACGGCCGGATCCGGAATCTTCTATATCCAAGTATTTTCCGACGGCGTGCAGGCGAACGGGACTCAGACGGTAGAGGTGAGTAGATGGGGTGTTGATTTGCTGGTGTCACTTCCGAAAAATGCTGTTGCTAAGTCTTTCTCCCTCTCCCCCTCCCGCTACCTCTCAGATTCTCTCTCTGTTTCCCTCTACCTCTCTCAATCTGTTTCTCCCTCTGTCTCTCACAGTCTATCCCTATGTCTTTTTCTATGTGAATGCGTGACTCCCATTTGTTGATAATAGGTTGTACTTTACCAGTGTTCTTTTTGTAATACCCGCTCCCATTCAACGAGAGCAAGTGGTAAGCAGACAATGGGTATTAGTTTGGCAGCTGTGAGCCGAACCTTTGTACACTTGTCTTAGCAAACAAGCGTACAGATCGATATTGTATTTATTGCGTATCATTTCTTTCTCGCTCTCTCCATTTCTCCCCCTTCCTCCTCTCTCTGTGCTCTAGTGTGCTGTGTGGTGCAGCGGTAGCGATCTCGTATAGCAATCTTGCTGACCTGCGATCAAATCCCTTAAAAATCGCAAGTGGATGGTAACCCCGGCCATTCCTTGCACACAGGGGATAACTTAGAAGCAAAATGAGACAGTATGTCAAAACCAAGAATATCCATTGTAACAAATGGAATTAAACTAAAACTTTAAACTAAACTTAAACTTTAAACTTTAGTCTGTTCTCTGTTTCCCTCTAACTACCCCCCCCCCTCCCTTTTCTCTCTCACTTCCTCTTCCTTTCTGTGTGTGTCTGTGCGCACAATATCATGCACACTAATATTATCGTTCTCATTTCTCTCTCTCTCAGTACGCTGATTGGGTGGCACCCAAGATCGACAGCGTCACTCCGAGATGGGCGCTGGGTCGCACAGTGGTTGAGTTTTACGGTTGGATGCAGTCAACCAAGTACCGAGGCGTTGATCCTGCAGATCCTTTGGAAACTGGAAGTGACTCTGGAGTCATTCTCACAAAGTAAGCGATTTCATTTATTCATTTATACAACCATTATTAAGAAAGAAAATGGTTAAGGATAGATCTTTGTTTTTTTCTGATGATTACTGTCTTCTAATTCTGACCTACGTTTTGTATACAAATGGCACATTTTTATCACTATTATTATTATCGTTAGAATCATTATCATTATTACTGTTATCATCACTATTACTATTATCATGATTATTAATGATTATCATAATTATTATTATCATTATTATTAATTTATCTCGTTGATATACTATCATTATCACTGATATGGTATTAATGTATTTAACATATTGCACTAGAAAGTAAACCAGTTCCAAGTATAGCGAATAATTCCCTTTTACAAGAATGCTGTCGTATAAGCTCCACTTAAGTACATTGATAAGGGGGATAGTTCCAATTTCATTAACTCAGAATCGCATGTATGAATTTCCTATGCTGAGGTCTCCTGACTATTTCCAGGGTGTACATGGGCGGCCTGGATTGTGACATGGTGAATGAAACCAGCGGGGAACTGTACCAACTGGAATCGCGAAGCCTCAGATGTCAGGTAACCAGTAAGTACATCGGACCCATGAACGGAACCACCTACGTGACTGAACGCGGTGTCTCAGTCGGCCGGAAATGGGGAATTTACGTCGATTCTCAGGACAGACTGTTCCAGCACCACACCTACGCAGGTAAACATGATGGCTCAGTAGCGACACTTGATAACAAACTGACTTAAATAAAATATAGTGGTTGGGCTTTTGTGCGACGTCAGCAAGCCAAATTAGAGTAAAATTCAATCGTAACACTTGTAGTGTTACTAGAATATTTGGTTTTCCTTGAGATAAACTTATCACAGATGAATACTAAATTGCATGTCATGAGTGCTGTACGACCTGATTCATGATCACAGAATCCAACAGAAAACATGAGATAGGAAGAAAAATTGCAACAAGTATCATATGAAGCCGCAACGTGACACAATACTCTTTTCTGCCACAGGAGTTGACAGCGTGAGTCCCAGCAGCGGATCCACGCAGGGAAACACTCTGTTGACTGTCACGGGTGTTGGCTTTGACCCTTACCCCGGCAAGACTGAGGTAGGCACTGGCGCTCATCCTTGCCCTTTGAAATGCACTTACCTTTTTTGATGAAACCTCATCTTTGGTATGATGTCCACGTTTAAAACATTAACAATTAATGGATCACTATTACAGGTGTGGGTTGGAGGAGCCGAGTGTGTGATCCAGGATGTGCAAGACGAGACTCTCACCTGCTTAACGCCATCGCAAGACGAGACTGGGCCTGCACCAGGTAAAAATTGTAAACAAACTGTTAAGACCAGGTTTATGAGCCTAGGAAAGAAAACGAGGAAACTTTTATCAATTTTTTTTCTGTCTCATTCTCTCCCCCTCCCCTTCTTTATCCTTATATATGTGTCTGTGTGTGTGTAAAAGCAACATGTAACATAGTCATAGCCAAATAGATGGCTGCATATGAATAAACAGGTAGATTTTCACAGCCTCGCAGCGGAGACCTAAGCCTCGCAACGGGCAGGGTGACAGGAAGGAGAAAAGAGAAGGGCGAAACAGGTGAACGACTAAGTGCGTGGTTTCTAGCGCACGCTCTCATCTCTGCTCATTTCCTCCATTCAGGAGAGCGTGGCATCCTGTCTGAGACGTGGAACGGCGTGTACGTCAGCAATTTACTTGACGATAGCCTTTGGGACGCCCTGGACTCCAGTCACAGCGGCTACAGCTCCTCGGTGATGATGGACACGAGGATTACCGTAGATGGCACCCAGAACCTAACGGGGAAAGTTTCCGGTAAGTATCTTGAGGAATGGGCAATGGTGTTCTTGCCTGAGTGCCAAAAGTTATCATTAGTATATATTCTATAAGCATTATCATAATCTTTTCTATATGCATTAGCATTATTATTGCCATTGTTAATTCTATTATTATTATTATCATCAACATTTCTATCGTTACTGCTATCATTATCATTATGACCATCATAAACAGTATTCCCATTAACATTATCATTTTCATTCATCAGTATTATTCAAACATTTCTACCATTGTTATAGCTATAGGTATCACTATTAGATTACTATAACTCTTTTTACATTTGTCACTATAACAATCAACGCAATCAGTCATCACTATGATGGTTTGTAATTTCCATCGGCAATATAATATTTCACATATACATATATTAAGAAACTTTCTTGTCCATGAAAGTTCCAAACACACTTTACACTCGGTCTCAAATGATTTTATTCATAAATGGTTCACTTCAGAAAAAACTACTTGCAGAAAAAACTATTTATTAAGTACAGATATATAGATACACAAACTCTCTCTATATAGATCATGATAAATATGTAGATAGATATATACAGATATGTAAATATAGATTAAAAAACAAACATAAAATCATAGACATAATATAAACAGATGCTTTTGTGACTTGCAGGCTACCTCCACGTTCCTCATGACGGCTTGTATTCTCTGGGCACTATGGAATTCAGTGGCGACTTGGCCTTCCTTATTGCCAAAAATGGCAATCCCGACAACAAGGTAATGAAAGGGTTAATGCTATTCGAATTCAGATTCATTTTATGGCTGTGGTTTAGCTGTTGTTGAAATTATCAGTGTTATCAATACTATTGTTATCATTGCAAATACTACTATCACAATTGTTAATTGTCGCTTTCATGCGAAACCACCTTCCTTGTTCCCGCAGACTTACGTGGGTCACTGGCACCACACAACACTCGAAGCGGACACCCCGATTTATTTCGAGTTCCGCTATCGCACCCAAGGTAAGCGGCACGGTCTCGATGATCCAGTTTTATTCCTGAGACTCATCTTAGTTCGGATATAAGGTGGTACCTTTGAGGGATTAGAACAAGTAGCACATGCTTTCTAACGTGATTAGGTAGCCACAAAATTGAGGGGGCAAATGAGAATGACCCTTAAACGAGCTTTGAGCTTTGATCTCACTCTCAACTTTGCAGCAAGCATGACCTTCCGCATTGCGATGAGCGACTTCAACGCCAAGTTCACGTACGACCAGACGGCCATGGGTCACGACGAGCGCCACCGTGTCAAGTTGGACCCCAAAGAACAGTTCGAAGTGCAGAGGATTAGTTACTCAGGGTCCCCAGGACAAGCTAGGATTTATCTGGCTGGACTTACCTCTGATCCTGTTGATATCACTGTGGACACAGAGGTACTTGTAAAAGCTCATCGTCATGTACTGTGGATATGAGTAACAGCTCAATAGTGATTTCTGTTTTGATTCGTTTTGTGTGGTTTCCATTTTCTTTTGGCTTGATCAATACCCTTCCTATATCATTTTAAATCAATGCACTTTTGCCTCCCTGCAGATTCGATCCGCGATTCTAGGCCTGACTGACCAGCTGTGCGACACCCAGGCGGACAGCCCGACATACTTGTACCAGAACGACTTCGAAATGGGCGAGGATAATATTCCTGGAGTGAGAGGATCGACCGCCGTCGACATCGCGAGCTACTGTGGAAAGTGAGTGGGCGATTTCGACTCTTAGTAAAGGCAAATGTGAAATAGATGGACGGATGGGTAAAAGAAGAATGCATTTATATAATAAGGAAAATAGTGCTAGAAACCCGGGTGATAGGTGTTATTTATTTCAGGAAATCCTTTTTGATGCGTTGGGACGACCCAAGACTTTACTACACCGACGACGAGGATCAAATGGCGGACGTTTACACTTATCGCTATGTAAGACTAAAAACTAGTACAAATATTGTTTTCTTGTTTCTTGAAAAATTTCAACGTTACCTATAAATGTCCCTTTATAACCACATTACATGATTTGAAATGTAAACAAATTGTAGATATTTTTAAACGAGAAATGTCATTCACAGGAATATAACTTGTCACATTCTCTCTAGATGTGTTTTGCTGTACGAGGCAACATTGAGACTACCATGAGTATACAGTTCCGCTGGAAGGACAAATATGGCAATGGCGGAAGAACCGACACACTTGTGGCTGATCACGGTCTTGCTGCCACGGCTGATACGTAGGTTTTTTTATGAATTCACATGCATACACATACATTAACACATATGCACACAGTTATATATGTATATATATATATTCACATTCACACTACATAGGCACGAACATACATACTTGAATACATGTCATTTCAAAACAATATGATTGACTTTACTTTATAACAATAGCCTTTTCAAACGAATATGTCACGTGACTCCTCTCACCCAGGTGGACTCACGGCTGCGTCGACTTGCTTGCCCTCGTGGACAGTTCGTGGTTGAACGATCACCGTATTGCAGGCGAAAAGCTGAAAGTCAGACACGTCCTGGCGCCGCGTCGAGCAACTTACAGAGATAGTGTATACGTCGATACCTTCGCTTTTGCTACAGAAGATATTGCCGGTGAGGTGTAGTTAGATATTTCCGTCGATTTACATTTCATGGCTGTGACAAAGGAACGATCTCGGATATCAAGAATTTGACTGTTACCTCGTTAGTCCGAAAGGTAGAACACCATTTTAATATGCATTACTATATTCACAGTGGTCCAGACCAGACCATCCGCCCTGAAGAACGCAGGAATCTTAGTGGACGACGTGGTCGTGACGGCAGTGGAAAATGAAAATGCTTTCGACGTGGAGATCCAGACCGGCAACTGCGCTGGAGATTTCCCTCTGCTTGGCGTGACGCAGACCACGGGTGAGTTATTCGCTTTTACTGTTATAGGGGTTTTCTTTGCGCCTCAGACTAAGAAAAAGAAAGAAAAAAATTGTCACGAAAAAATTGATGATGTCAGAGTATCGTCAGAGTATTTTCTGGCCAGGACTATTACTCCGAGATATTATCTATATTCACAGCTTTTGTACACATACACACAACTACAGCCACACTATATATGTTTACACAAGTACAAAACAGATCCTACCAGAACTTATTCACATGCTCCGAGTCGTCCCTCCTGAAGCTTCTCTACCTCACCACTCATCTTCCATTCGACTTACAGGCGATGCTTCGTGGATAACTGATCTCGCCAGCGCCGCCAGCTACACCTTCAGCGTGGGCGTGGAGGAGGTGAACGTGAGCAGGACTTTTGTGGCGACTCATCCCGTCACCGGAACTTGGTCGTTCAATATCGAAGGCATCACTATCGAAGGTTCGACTCAGACACGAAGTTCATTATTTTCAGTTACTAAGTTCTGGGAATAATGAGTTTTACCGTTGTCTTGCTCACTATGGTTGTTCTTTTTACTACTATTAATATCGTTATCATTACTGTTGTTTTTTATATTATGTTTACTGTATAATCATTATTACAATCATTATTATCAATGTTATTACTGTAACAGCTGGTACTACTACTCTTCTTAGCATTAATTCCATTATCATTATCATTACAGATAGGTAACCATTTTTGTAATGATCGTGATTATTATCACACAAACAATTACTCTTTATCATTTAGACGATCAATTGCATCATTAACTAATCAGTTGTATTAATTATAATGAATCCGATAATGCCAATGTAAATGTAAATAATTTCTTAACGAGCAGATAAAGAGGATAAATAACTTGATGTGTTTCCTCGTTACTGCATATCTTCCTCAAAATTAAAACTGATTTCGATGAAGATTCCACATATCTCAGATGAATATAAAACTCAAAGCGCGTCTGTTAGATCACTTGCTACGTTGAAGCGAATGGATGTCATTCACACCTCGTTTACATCGATCACACTTTCCTACTTTTGTCCCCCCCCCCAGACATTCCCTTCGACGTGGAAGACTGGGCTCTGGATGAGATGATCGAGGCCGCCCTTGGAACCAGCGGCATGGCAGTCTCTCGCAGCGGAATTTGCACCTTATATACTTGGCAAATAGAGTGGAAGGAAAATCCAGGGCGAAAGGAACTGTCTTCCGTAGACATTTCAGGACTGACGTTCGATGGGTGAGTCACTTGTCCTCGCGTTCTGAGGGCATATTTTTCACCCACTGGTATAATATTCATAAAAACGAAAAGAGAAAAGAGAAAAAAACTCTGCGGGCAGATTCGACTGTTTCGTTTTCGTAACTTTTTTCGCTTTCTTTTTCGTCAGCGAGAAAATCAACGTGAATGTAGACAGAAGCAGAGAAGGCAAGTTGTGGCACGATCCTATCGAGGCAGACTTCCTCACCGTCAGGAGCGAAGAACCTCAAGTGAGTGCCCTGCTCTCTTTGTGGCCTTTTACTCGCCTTCTGTAGCTATCTTTCTTCTCCTTCTCTTCCTCCCTCTGCTTTCTCCCTTTCTCTCTCTCCATCTCAAACAATCTATCTATCAATCTATATCCACTTCCTACTGTCATTCTGTTTACATCTCTCTCTGTATGTATAGATATATTTGTCCGTATCTATTTATCTCCTCCCTCCTTCCCCTTCTCCATCCCTCCTCTCTCCCTCCCTCCCTCCTTCATTTTCTCCCTTTCCTCCCTCCCTTCCTCCCATTACTTTTCATTTTCCCTTCCCTCCTTCCGTTCCTTCCTCCCTTTCTCCTTGTTTCATTCTCTCTGCCCTTCCTCCCTTCCCCCTCGAGCATTAGTCCGCAAATTTCCCTTCAAGAGATTCTTGAGCCGTCATTCTCCTTGCTTACGACACAGGTGTTCGTGAGGGTGAATGGCTACTCTGCTGCTTGCACTGGCGCTTGTGCATTCGCGTTCGACGACTCAGGAGTCCCGAGCCTCTCTTCTGTCGCTGGATCTCCAGGTAAGAGATGGAAACCTTTGGAAAGTAAACTGCAATGTAAAATTTGGGGATTTATGCAGTTGATTTGCAATTTCCTTTTCGGTGGTTCTTCAGACTGAATGTATATAAAGTTTTTGAGCTGTTTGACCAGTTGTTACACAGCATTAGCAGTCTAGTGCATGTCCATGTGTCTTCCAGATGTGTCGGGCAGCCATACCCTGACCATTGTGGGCACAGGATTTAGCAGTTCCGACAACAACGACTACAGCGTAACTGTAGGAGGATCTGTGTGCAGTGTATCTGCCGTCACCACCACACAGGTACGTGCTTTGTAGCATCGTATCCTCGTGGTATTCATAGTTGCTGGGAATGCTCTTGAAAGGGTTACTGTTTTCTCGTTCGCTTCCTTCTTCGGTTTTCTAGGTATAGTAATTGCCATTTCCTTCTTTCCAGGTGACCTGCACAGTCGCTTACCTGCCTGCCGGCACCTTCCCCGTCGCCGTCAGCATGCAACCCGTCGGAAGCGCACTGCAGCCCGACCCGCCCCTCTCCTACGCCGTCACCGTCTCCGTCACGTCCGTGACCCCTGCCACCGGAGGGACGGGCGGCGGGTACTCCGTGGTCGTGGCCGGCACCGGCTTCCCCGCAGACTTGGCCGGGTGGGAGGGAAGCTCCGTGGCTCTCGGCCTCAAGGACTGCACCGTCACCGACGCCGACGCCGCCTCGGTCACGTGCACCGCGCCGGCCGGGGTACGTCAGAGAGGTTTTTAAGTAATAATGATAATAAATATGGGAATAATGATAATAAATATGGGAATAATGATAAATATAACGATAATCAAAGTAGTGGTAATAGAGATGACAGCATGATAACGATATATATGTATAAAAAAAATAATATATATATGTTATATATGTATATTTATATATATTATATATATATGTACACACACATATATCTACACTGAATCACCTAAGATCCAATGTGGAGTACATGACAACAATCCATCAAACCTAAACTTTTCTATTTCCTTCAGACCGGAGTTGTTGATGTTTCGGTCACCGTCGGGGGTACATCGGCCTCCATGTCGTCAGCTTTCACGTACGATGCGTCGCTGTCAGCTACTCTGACCAGTGTTAGCCCGACCACATCATCTGTGCTCGGTTAGTAATGCAAATATATGCATACTCATATATGCACACATGTACAAATGAACACATATAAGCATATGTGTAGTGTATATATTTCACTTACATGTGCCTTTTTCCAGGTGGAGAGCTCCTAACGATCACCGGCTCAGACTTTGGCTCTGGAACCGACGGATATGTCATGGTAAGCTGTTACTCTCCTAATCATCAGCAAATCATGCTGAGGTTGTAAGCTGACCAATATATAATTTAGATCAGTATCCCTACATTTATACTGCAAGACCGTTGCTCCTTTTCTTAGGTAATGTTTTCTTTCGACAGGTGGGAGATGAAATGTGCGAGCCAAGCACTTGGGCCGCTGCTTCCATTACCTGCACGCTGCCGCCTCTGTCCCCTGGCGTTCACCCTGTCACAGTCTACACCGGTAGCAGGGGCTTTGCTAGGTCAGGGATACTTAATAATAAACTTGCCAAAACTGGATAAGTGCCGACTTTGAAATTATGATTCGAATACTTTGTTTCTAGCATGTAGTTTTCCAATTAGTAAATCCGTTATACGGTAATGAGGATTATTTATACGGTTGAGTCCTACTTAATGTGACTTTGTGGCGTCCACAGCGGGTCGGCTTCCGTCACCTACACACTGAAGGTGACGTCCTACTCTTCTGCCACTGGCTCCGTCAAGGGCGGAACGATTATGGTCATCAGAGGCGAAGGTTTCGGCTCGAACTGCTCCTTCCTGCAGGTCGACCTCGGGGACGGCGTCATGTGCGACGTCACGGAGTGTTCAGACACCGAAGTGACCTGCACGGTGATGGTGATGCCCCGAACTCACGTCGTCAAGAACGACGGCTCAAACACAGGTGAGAGGCCTCATGACTGTTGAAGTGGGATGAATTACAATTATATTATTTTCGGCTTCAGTACAGAAAGAAAAAATCCAGTATTTTATCAACTGTGACTACTTTCAGTGATGTACAAAGACTAAACAGAAACTCACATCCACTTTTTAGAAACTTTTTAAAAACAGTAAATCTTTCTCATCAGTACATGGCCCTGGTTATGCTTGGAATCCCAAGCTGGTAGTCGTCAGAGAGGGAGACAGCGTCAAGTGGGAATGGACCAAGAATGACCCACTGTCCCAGCTGATGTACAATGTGTTCCAGACTAGCTCAGGAGCTGCTTATGAATATGACGGCAGTGGCTTCAACTCCGGCTCTCCCACATCTGCTGGTGGGTTTCTGGATTTGTCCACTGAGTTGCTAACTTGTTGCGTAAATCAAGCTTTTTGGCCTATGAAGATATATATATATATATATATATATATATATATATATATATATTTGTGTGTGTCTGTGTGTGCATGTATATATGTATATATATACACTTCTATATACATACATATATACAAACACACACACACACACGCACATGCACAAACATGTTTGTGTGTGTGTGTTTAGGTATGAGTGTTTCCCTGTATCCACACCAGCTGTATGCACGAAAAAATATACAGATATTTACCCCAGTCTCTATAATTTTACTAATTTTACTTAGGATTAACATGCTTGATCTCACTCACTCTCCTGCAGGTTCCTACATCGTGACCTTCCCCCATCAGGGAACGTACTTCTACGCCGGCACGCCTATCGCGAACAATGTTGTGCTCTCAGGAAGGGTAGAAGTCCTAAAACCCGGACAGAAGGCGTACAAGGTTATGCTTTCTCTTGGGGGCATCAAGGCTGAGTTTGTTCCCGATGGAGCAGGTACGTCAAGGCCTTTAGTGGGGCAATATCTGCTGGCTAAACATCCAACAGGAAAACCGCACTGTTTGTTTTTGTGCAAAAAATCTCGACGAAATACAGATTTCATTCACGTTATTCATAGGGGTTACAAACAATACTATCTATACTGCATAAAGTGCATTCCACAGTACATCTTTACGGCTGTTTATGAATTGCGAATCTAGATGATAACAAACAACTTCCTCGACAGCTGTCTCCGTCTCCGTGGACGGCTGCGCCCCCATCCTAGAGGCCGCCATCGCCGACTGCAACTCCACCGCCCCCGACGCGCCCGACGCCGACGCTCTGTACTTCATCACCGACATGTGTCTCACGCCCACCGTCACAGGCGTCTCCGCCAGTTCCACCCAGAACGTCCCTGGCCTCAGGTATTTTCATCCTCTGTCCTTGGGGAAAGGGGAGAGTTAGGGCGCCATTTGAAAACAAGTACATTCTTATTTACTCTCTGTATTTTCTGTCTTTGTATGATGTAGGAATAAATACAAATTGCAAAATAATTATTAAAGAAAGGGAGGCCTATAAACCCACCCACACGCACGTGTGCACACACCATAAACACACACAAGCAAAGGACAAAGCAAAACCGCCTCCATGCATTTATGAACGCCTCTCGAAACCTCCCTCCCCAGCGGCCTCCAGGTGGCAGGCGGTGCCACTTTGACCCTCACTGGCTCCGGCCTCGGGGATTCGACGTGCCAGACTCAGGTGTGGGTTGGGGACTCCTCATGCACTGTCACGGCCTCCTCGGACACCTCTGTGACCTGTGACCTCGACGACTACGACTCCATGGTCTCCCTGCGGCCCTTCCCTCTGCTGGTTAATGTGATCAACAGGTGAGCAACTCTAATATTGCGCCCCACACGGTCGCTGTTCGTGTAGAGAAGGGAATTAAGTCGCCGCAGCATGAGAATTGTCATAGCAATACTATTTTGATAAGCATTATAAGATCGAATAACATTAAAACCATGATGCTCATAATAACCAGACTGTAGATTTTATGTCAAATTACTTTTTACACTTATTTATTTACATTTTTACATTCATTCATCTGTTTACCGAATCAATAGGGGTATCGCCTGCCTGGACGTACCTGACTTCAAAACAACAGGCCAAGTTAGCATAGTTCCCGTTGTGACGTCATTCAGCCCGGTGGAAGGATCTCTTGAAGGAGGCACAGTCGTCACCATCCAAGGTAAAATCTGTTCACTCATTCTCCTTTCCTCTCTCTCTTTCTCTCCCTCACTTCTTCTTTATTGAAATCGATATGGAATTAAATGTTACAATGAATATCGAAACATTTTGTATCTCCCTTATTTCTATTACTACACTTCACCAGCAATTATCATGATGAAATTATTCTTGAAATGTGCTCTATATTTCACAAACTTATTTCCTTTTACAGCACAAACTAAACATCACTTACGTAAAAAGAATAACCTTCCTTTTCTCAGGAACGGGTCTTGAAGCTTTTGACGACCAGGCCACAGTGCTCATGGGTTCATATCCATGCGTCGTGAGTGACGTCACACCCACTACCATCACCTGCACCACTTCGTCGGCGCCTGCGGGAGCTGTCAATATGGTTATCAGGATCTCCGCCTATAACGTGAGCGCTCCTGTTCATTGGTTGAGTTTGTATATAAATACGTACATACTTACATATATATTTACATGCACGCACACACACAGACACACACACACACATAAACAAACACATACTCACACTCACAGACAAACACAATACACACAAACATGGTGTCACAGACACACTTCTTTCGAAAATACATTTCAAACTTTTTTACTTTCAGATCGACGCAGTTAGTAACCTGGCGAGCTCCGTCTTCACGTACTCGGCAGCAGCAACGCCCTCTGTGACCTCCGTATCTCAGTCCGGGTCCTCGCTCACTATTTCCGGCTCGGCCTTCGGCACCAACTCCGCTGCAGTCTCCGTCTTGCTCACCTTTACGTCTAGTCGGCGTAGGAGAAGCATTCCTGAAGAGGTGCCCGAAGACCCAGCCCCTGTTCGCGGCCACTTCTTGGTTCCCGACGAAAGCAACGTTGAGGTCGACCTGGATATGGACGTTGTTCGCGATAGTTACAAGCCGGTCGTTCATACCGGTCTCTTTGACGACATGGGAGCGGACAGCCATTTCTGGGGCACATTTACGAAAACAAACGCGAGAAACTTCGAGGAATCGAAGGCCCTCGGAGCGTGGAGGATCGGAGGTAGCAAACGCGTCGCAAAGGCAGAAGCGCCTGTCGCAGAGGTGGTGCGAGAGAAACGAGAAGCATCACAGACCACATACGAGTGCACGCCAACTTCAGTCACGGACACCACAATTGTCTGCGATACGAGCGATCTCCCAGCAGGCAGCTATGCTATTTCACTGTCGGTGGATGGTCTCGGCGATGCTTCCGTCGACTCTGGCGTAGGCGCCGTCACCACGGCCGCCGTTGTATCCACAATATCTCCGACGGAGGGCAGCGTCAATGGAGGCGCCCTTCTTACTATATCGGGCTCTAGTTTCACTCCAGGAGATCTGAATGTAACCGTGGACGGTCTGGAGTGCGAAATCCAGACAGAAACCATTGACACCATCACGTGCCTCACCCCAGTCCACGCAACTGGTGTTGCGTCGGTGGCAGTTACTTCTGGAGGAGTTACAACCAACTCGCCAACTGACTTCACCTATGATTCTGCTAAGACCCCTGTCCTCTCCAGTGACCCGTGAGTTTCAAGGCTATGATAATAGTTATTATTATTGTTATTATCACTTTTAATATCATCGTTATCAATGCCATTACTAGTATTATAAACATTATAATTTCCTTTGGCAGAATATCCCCAATTGCTTGCTGTAATGCAAGCATTTCCTTGTCCGGAACAAACCTGAAACTGGCCACCGATGATCCGGAGGTCACAGTCGGCGGATCGGCCTGCACTGAAGTCACTGCCACCTCCACTACCGTTACTTGCAAGGTGGTTTTTCCTCGTGTTGTTTGTGTGGAAATGCAGTATCTAGAAACCATATTAAATTTACAATGATACATCATTTTCGACTTTGTGTTCATCATGATAATGTACCATGCATACAAGCACTCATATCTAATACAAACGATATTTCTGTTGCAGAGTCCAGAACTTGCTTCAGGCACTTACGATATTGTTGTAAGAGATGTTCTCTATGGGTACTCAAACGTGATTAGTGTCACCTACAGTTTTTCAGTGGACTCAGTGAGCCCATCTTCAGGTTGGTTCACTAGCCTATGTACTGAATGTACATACCTCATAAGAATCCTGATATAATGAACATAAAATTTGTATAGATGTTATAACTAATGTTCGCTACATGAAGCAGGTTTTGATTTCTTCATCCTTTAACTCAAATCTGCAGGGGGCTTTGGAGGAGTGGAGGCGACACTGACTGGCACAGGCTTCGATCCAGCCGGTGGCTCCACAGTGACTGTATGCAATGCCACGTGTGATGTCACTGCTGCCAGTTTTGGCTCCATTACCTGTGTTATTCCCCCCAGGACACCAGGTAATTAAGTTCATGCTGACTTTTAAAACAAGTGAAACATTTCATTGCATTGTACATTATTAATCTTCAAACGTTTCGTTTTGTAAATACATTATGATTTTGACCATGTTAAAATATGCTTCTTATTCAACCAGGAGGAAGTGGCACAGAGTCCTGTGACGTTGTTGTGACGAACTCCGACGCTACAACCACGACGTTTGTTGACGGATTCACTTATGACTCCTCTCTGAGCTCTTCCGTCACTTCCGTTTCCCCCACAAGAGGAGGAACAGCTGGCGGCACCGAAGTTACCATCACGGGAACTGGTTTTGCGTAAGTTACCTTTTTGCATGTTTAGCCTTTCATACATTTGTCAGAATAACTGCACACAACACGAAGAATATACATGTTCTTGATCAATTCCCGAAAAACTAAATAAAAATTCCCTTACAGAGCAACTGGAAACACAGTCATGATCGGAGGCTCAGTTTGCAAAATTGTGAATGAAAGCAGCACCGAGATCACTTGCAATACTATCTCCCACGATGGACCAGGGAGGTTCCCTGTTATGGTTACTGTGCCTGGAAAAGGCATTGCTACAGTTGTGGGTATTATTTAAATTTCAATCTGGAATGGAAGATTTTCTAATCATAAATAAAAAACAACACATAGTTTAATAACACTGCATGGTAACAGCCAAGATCAAATCCAGATATCTCTTGAACCAATATTTTCCTAGGACGAGAATGGAGAGTTCTTCTATATTGATCGCTGGAGTTCAGTGTTCACGTGGGGCGGAGACCCCGTGCCATCAGAAGGCCAGCTCGTTGTCATCGAAAACGGCCAGACTATCCTCATGGACGAGTCGACGGCCGTCCTCGAAATGCTCCTGATCAAGGGTAGGAGAGACTGGATGTCATGGGATTGTTCTGAACCCCTTCTCCTATTTACTTTTTCTTATTGGTGTATTAATATTCTCTCATAATTTTCCTTTATAAAAACAGTCCTTTGATTATAAATATCTATGTCACACAGGCTTCTGAAAATAATGACTTTGAATATTCTTGCTCAGTCTGACATCTTCCCGTCCCAGGAGGTCACGTGGTATTCGATCAGGAAGCGACATCAGAGATCATCCTGCGAGCCAAGTACATCCTGGTCGTCGAGGGCGGGTCGCTGAGCATCGGGTCCGAGGAAGAGCCATTCATGGGCGATGCTGTTATTGAACTCTATGGCAACACAAAGACTATCGAGTTGCCTAATTACGGAGCAAAGGTGAGGATTAGAATCTGTGTGAAAACGATTGCAAATATGAAAGCTGTTGCTAATTTCACACTCACTGAAATTTATCCATAACCTGGAAATCAATATTTTCTATTTAATCTTCCAGGTACTGGCTGTGCGTGAAGGTACCTTAGACCTCCATGGAGCTCCCATTGATGTAACATGGACACACCTGGCAGCCACGGCAGCTCAAGGCAGTTCTACAATAACCCTCAAGCAGCCTGTTAGCTGGAAGGCAGGAGACAATATTGTCATTGCTACAACTGAGCACAGGTGAGACTACTGTCGAATTTTTGCTTTTTATACGCAGTTGTCTTTTTTTAGCAACATTCACACAGCTACTCTGTGCTTGTGCAAATGTATCAAAACTCAAAACCGGCAAAAAGTACCTATTGATTTCATTAACACCTGTAGCTTTATTCAAGTCGACCAAGAAAAATATAATACATGACCTGAACAGTAAACCGAAAGGCAGCCCAGCCAGAGCCACAGCGAGAAAAGAGGTCGCAGGTTAACTGGTCCGTCACGTTGCAGGTTCATGGTCAACGAGAACGAGGAGCGCACCATCGCTTCCGTGTCAGCCGACGGCCTCACCCTCACCCTCACAGAGCCCCTCGAGTTCGAGCACATCTCCATCGAGCAGACCTTCGGCACCCACACAGTAGAGACCCGCGCTGAGGTCGGCCTCCTCACGCGTAACATCAAGATTAGAGGCAACGTTAACTCGGACTTCATTGAAGAGATTGAGGCTTGCGATGAGGACTGGCATCCAGGTATACTTTCATTGTATGCTGTACACTACTTACACTCTATGCATTACAACATATACTGCATACTGTGCATATACAGTAGATAAAGAGGTATTTTATATGTACCTCTTATAGCCCTCCTCACAGACGACTGCAGTCCGCTCAGCAGTGGCCAGATAATCTCAGATCCTGATGGGGTGCGTGTGCGTTGGGTTGAGTATTTTGAGCAGTTGTATCAGGTTGATCCCCCAACAGTTAATATGGACGTGGGTAATGTTGAGATTCCTCTGCCAGACCCACACATCAGCGAGGATCCACCCTCCCTGACTGAAGTCAGGGAGCTATTTCCAAAATGAAGAGTGGTAAAGCAGCAGGTTTTGTGGCATCCTAGCTGAATTGTTAAAGGCTGGTAAAGAACCTGTGGCAAGGGGCTTGCATGCAGTCCTGATTGCCATCAGGCAGACCGGTACCATTCCCCCTGACCTGCTGAGGAGTGTGGTCAGGGGAAAGGGGATTGGTGGGACTGCAGCAATCACCGAGGCATTACACTGCTCAGTATACCAGGCAAGGCACTCGCGCACCTCCTACTGAGACGTATCAGAGACCACCTGCTGCGACACCAAAGGCCAGAGCAATCTGGATTCACTCCTGGTAAGTTCACAATAGACCGCATCCTGGTGCTTCGAGCCATCGTAGTGCGCCATCGTGAGTTTGGACGTGGGCTGCTTCCAGCTTACATCAACCTCAAGAAGGTGTTTGATACGGTGCATCGCGAGTCACTCTGGGAGATCCTGAGGCTAAGAGGAATTCCAACAAGGATTGTTGGATTAATAGCAAACCTGTATACAGGCACTGAAAGTGCTGTAGTGTGGTGGGGGCCTGTCGAGCTTCTTCCCTGTTAGCTCAGGTGTGAGGCAAGGCTGTGTTCTTACACCAACACTTTTCAACACTTGCATGGATTGGATACTGGGTAGAGCTACTGTCCAAAGTCACTGTGGAGCAACTCTGGGCAATATCAAGACCTTGACTTTGCTGATGATGTTGCCATTCTTTCTGAATCTCTGGAAACCCTAGTGGCGGCTCTTGAAGCATTTAGTAATGAAGCGAAGCCCTTGGGGCTAGAGGTCTCCTGGACCAAGACTACTAGACCCTGTGAAGTCAGTGAAAAAATCGAAGTTACGAAGAGTTTTATATCCCTCGGTAGTGCAATTCACAACTCTAGGCTTTCAGACCAGGAAGTCAGTATATGGATTGGCCTGGCAGCAGGGGTCATAAAATCTCTCGACAAGAGCATTTGAAGATGCCGGCACCTGTGCAGAAGGACCAAGCTACGTGTCTTCAAGGCCTTGATACTGCCAGTTTTACTATATGGTAGTGAAACCTGGATACTATCTTGTGCTTTGGAATCTCGTCTTGATGCCTGTTGTAACATATCCTTGCACTGTCCGAGACAACCCCGGGTGGAGGAGGCCTGTGGGACTACCAAGAAAGTCGTGGCTTGGGCAGATCGATCAAACCTGTCGTGAGGAGCTAGAGATGGCGGCTCGCCATGAGACCCTCGCAGGTGGAAGCCAAGGGTGGATGCGGCTATGCGCCCCTGCCAGCGTTAGCTCCAAATGATGATGATGGTTATATATATTAGACATGCACACGCACACAAATAAATATAAACATATATATACAAATTCATATACACTATATATATTATATTATATATATATATATATGTATATATATATTATTATATATTACACATAACATTTATTTCTAATATATATATACATAATATGTATATGATGTATAATATATATAATGAAAATATACATATATAATATATATAATGAAAATATACATATATAATATATGTAATGAAAAAATATATATATAATATATATAATATAAATATATTATATATGATTATTGTATATAATATATATATATGTATATATATATATATATATATATATATATATATATATATATATATATATATATATATATATATAATATAGGTAACGTATATGTAATATATATAATATACATACAATGTATATAAAAAAATATATATATAATATATATATGATATATATTATATATATATGTTTATATATATATAATACATATATATTATGTATATATTATCTATATTATATATATATATTCATATTATATACATATATTATATATATTATATATCATATATATTATATATGTTATATATATCATATATATCATATATGTTTTATATATTATGTATAATATTTATATATATTATATATATCCTATATATATATTATGTATATATTATATATATTATATATATATATTATATATATACTATATATATTATATATATTATATATATACTATATATATTATATATATTACATATATTATATATACTATGTATATATTATATATATGTATTATATACATATTCTATATATATTATACACATATATAATTTATATTTATTATGATATATATGTATATATATTATATATATGTATATATATACATATATATATACATATATATATATATATATATACATATATATATATATATATATATATATATATATATATATATATATATACATATATATACATATATATATACACATATATATATATACACATATATATATACTATATATATACATATATATATATACACATATATATATATACACATATATATATATATATACACATATATATATATATATATATATATATATATATATATATATATATATATATATATATGAGCATGTATGCATGTACATATATATATGTTGGCTTGTACATATACATGTAGCTCATGTACATGTAGCTCTGTTTACCATCAGTCCGTCAATTCGACTGCTTCCTCTGCAGGTCAGTTTATGGTCCAGTCTTGCTTTAACGGAAGGTTTGGCGAAGAGATCGGAGGCGCCCAGTTCGGTGCGACGGTCATGCTGTTCGGCAAGGAAGCCAACAAAGACCTTGTGCAAGGCCGCGTCGAATACGTCGAGGTCACGGAAGCTGGACAGGTAGGTCACGTCAAGTCGATCTCCCCGAAATTATATCACAGATTGTAAGCAGACCAAAAGAATATCAAGGATAGTCAGAGAATGAACCAGTCGTTATTTTTTCCATAGGCCTTCCAGCTGGGCCGCTATCCCCTTCACTTCCACTTAGTCGGCAACGTCAACACCTCATACATCCGTGGTTGCGCCGTACATCGTACATACAACCGCGCAGTGACCATCCACGCTGCCGATTACCTTACTGTGGAGAAGAACGTTGTCTACAATAACATGGGCCATGCTATCTTCACTGAGGATGGTGTGGAACAGTTCAATGTGATCCAGTACAACCTTGCTGTTTACACAAGAAGTTCGTCGTCGTTGCTGAATGTTGACGTAACTCCATCCTCCTTTTGGGTATGTATCATTAGCTAGAGTCTTTAATTCGGATTCTAGTGATTGAATGTACGTGAAAGTTGACTGGAGAGGAAGATTGCTCCGGCTATAATTCGCCTGATTATTTATATCCCGCCAGAGGGTTGGCAGGGAATGTAGAGGGAGTGTAGCGAATCCTGATCTGAAGTAGCAGCAATAGTAGTAGTAGTAGTGACAATAAGAAATACTAACAGTGATGATATTAAAGACAAGAAATTATAATGCTACCTTCTACTGATGATTTTAAGAATGTTGTGTCTAAGCCCCCTCCCTCAACCACCAGATCGTGCACCCCAACAACATTGTGCGCCACAACGCAGCCGCGGGAGGCACTCACTTCGGCTACTGGTACCGACTGGAGCGCCACCCGTCAGGTCCCTCCGCGACCAACTCCATCTGCCAGAACAATGCACCCATTGGAGAGTTCACCAATAACACGGCGCATTCTATGGGCTGGTAGGCTGAGTTCTTTTGCATGCTCAATAGAAGTTTTGGGTTTAAGATGCAGTGAAAATAATAGTTTAGAGTAAGAAATGATGATTTTGATCAAGAATATGAAGCCTGAATGACATGTCCCTTTTATTTGCTGCTTCTAGGTATGGTCTGTGGGTATTCTCCATGGATGGGTACTTCCCCAAAGACAATGTATGCTGGGGCAGTAATGTGGTACGTATGCAGTTGTTGGGAGTGTGACATCATTGTGAAGTGATAGTAGTTACACATCTCATTGTTGATTTTGAACCGCCATCAGCAGTTCTCGCAGTACACTTTAGGTAAATATATTTTATACATTCTTCCCAATATTCCTCTGTAGGTTGCCAAATGGGACGGGTTTACCACGTGGAGGAATGAACGCGGGGCAGAGATCGTGTCTGGAGGACAACTGCAGTTCCACAACTTTGTGGCTCTGGATAATGAATTTTCCGGCATCGAAATGGTGCAGATGGATGGTGGATTTGGAATGGACAATGGACCTGGTATGTTGGCATATATAAAACCTAATAATGCACTTACAAAACTGCCTCACAACACTATGATGATACACTTGGGTGAGAAGTGATCATTAGCACCTTTCATTTGCAGGAGTCTTTAACTCGGTGATCGTCGGTCACTCGGCGCTCACTCCCGAAGGCTGCGGAGACGCAACTAGCGGAATAATAACACCGAAGAAGACCGTCTTCAGCATCGCCGACACCGAGTTCTACAACTTCGATACCAACAAGTGCACAGCACTGTCAGGGTGCTCTCAGTGCAAAGTCTTCCAGGGAGGTTACCAAGTACAGGTCAAAGGCCTCACCTTTGTAAACTCACCTAACAAGGTATTCATTATGATCTGTTCTCGCTTTAGAAATTTGAAGCTTGGCTGTTTGAATGTTAAGAAATATAAAAAAAAAACATTTGTATATTAATATATAAGGTTGCTAAATCTCACAATATTTCCCTTCAGCTGAAGTTCAAGTGGGAACACGAAACAGTGTGGATCGATGCAGATGGATCGCTGTCTGGGGCTGCTGAAAATAAAGTTGTATCGGACTCGGACATTCTGCCACCTGAATGCACAAAGAGTGTCTCAGCTTTCTCTCTGAATCCAGAGGTAAGTTCTTCGGACTTGCTCTCTCTCTTTCCACATTAGAATGCTATATGGAGAATCTTTACAGCACACGATATTAAAAACAAGTGTTATAAGATGTTCGTCCATATCTTCAAAGGCCCCCGGCGCCGTCTGCACCTCCTCTGTCGAGTTCGTCAGACTCAGCGTGAAGGGAACCAATGTGAAGCCGCAGTCCTTCCGAGGCGGAGATTTGATCCTCTCGAACAGCTACGGCAACACCACCATCCCGTACCGTGTAAAGAGGTTGGACGGTGGTGAAGGATGGATGGGTATAGTGTCGACGGGAGGAACCTATGACTGGATGTTCAAAGATGGAGAAACTGTGAGTTTTTCTCGAATTTTGGATTTATTATTACTTTTTTTTTAGATCCGTTCATGTACGTCTCTTGATCTTTAACAAATGGGAAAGAAATCTTTGTGTGATAACAGTGATCCTTTATTTCACCCTGTAGCAAACGGATATCGAATACGATGCTCAGAGTAAAAATATGCTGAGTGGACAGTATTATTACGTACAACACCGATTCATGCAAACTCCAGATTACTTCAGGTAATGGATGCACTGATTCTTTGCAAACAAGTTGTACATCTAGATCTCTAAACTGGTTATTGAAATGTACAGAAATTGTTGAACGAGATATATATATGGGTATTATGTCGCAAAATAAAGCTAAACATCTTTCTATTTTGTTTTTCTGCAGCACAACAGGTGTGGAGAGAAACAGCTCTGACGCCCTTCCAGACCCGGCTGCAGGTTATCATGGGGAATACTACTGGGACGAATCCTCAAAGATTATGACTTACTTGGGTATGCTGTGAATGATTCTTGGGGGTGGGGGATTCAGACAGACATTCTCTCTTTCTCTCCATTACTCACACTCACGCTCACTAACTCTCTCTCTCTCTCTCTCTCTCTCTCTCTCTCTCACACACACACACACACACACACACACACACACACACACACACGTACGCATGCACTCATATTCTCTCATTCATACCTTATCGATAATGTAAATAGATATATTAAACAACACTTCAGATAATCAGAGCTGTGTACTGTAATACTTTCTTGCAGTTTCGTATAATAAAGAATCCAGGAAGAAACGAACCGTCTTTGACGAGCGAAATACAGGTCGGACACGAAACATTGACTTTGAGACATACAGGTAAGTTTTCTTTATGTATGGATAGATCACATTGTGACAACTGTCAGAGTCTAATAGCATTGTGTTTATGAGTGTGTCTGTGATTTTATCCATGTGAGTGGTGTGTGTGGATAACTTACTACATTTTGGGAAATCAACAACAAATAGAAATAAAAGTCACCCCAATGAAATTCCAATCATGGAAATATCCTCATTTAATCCTCCCTTTTTCCCTTAAATATCTATATCTATCTATATCTATATTTAATTTCCTTCTGCTGCCAGTGACAAGCCTAAGAGGAACCGAATACCCAAAATTGCCAGCCTATAAAATACAAAATACAAATTACTCAACTAGTGCCCCATGATACCACTCCTGACCCAACACACCTACAGGTGCGAATACGCAGGCTGTGTTGCTCCCACGCCTCCGCCCGTGCCCACTGGCCGACCGGATGTTACTTTCCTGTGGTCCGACGTTGAGACCTGGAAGGAGGTTCCTGTAGGATCGGGAGGACATCCGACGGAGGAAGAATACGGCCTGCCAGTGGAAGGCGACGAGATCATCATTCCTCCAGGTGAGTGAGAATGCGAGAATGAGTGAGTGAACGAGCGAGCGAGTGAGTGAGTGAGTGAGTGAGTGAGTGGATGGGTGGGTGGGGGGGTGCGTGAGTGTCAGGGTATCGGTAACCCCTGCATTGATAGTCGACAGAAACACATGGTCTGGTTGCAGATTTTATTGGAGATAAAGGTTGATGTTAGCAAGTGACCGGCTTGTGCGGAAGTAAACTTGGGCAGCAGGTAGGCCCGGCAGGAGGCTTGTAGTGCGCCCGGAGGAGACAGCGTCCGAGCGGAACCGTGATTCGAGGTTGAGTAATCTCATAGAATACTCAACCTCGAGCTAGTCAGATGTCATGAGCGCAGTGGGCGATGCTATGGGCACGCCGCCCATATTGGTTACCCCTGCTAGTTGGATGGTGTGGCATTGAAGGTATCTGACCACTCTCAGATATAACAAATTGGTAAAGTGAGAGTGCAAATGTGTAAAAGAGTGAGAGACAGATAATGGCAGACAGTGTGAGACATTTTGAAGGGCATAAAAAGTACTCTATAGAGGAAGGGAAGCTTTTTATGCAGTCAGTAGTAAAACTTTCCAGAATGACTATCTCCAGTCAGATAACAATGAAATAATCAGAAACTTTGTACCTGTCTTCGGTTACCTGATTTTTTTTTTCGTTCAGCCAAGGGCATTGAGGTTCTGACGAATTTACCTTCTCTTCAGGAATGTGGATCATCGTGGATACAGATACCCCAAGCCTCGGCCGTGTATATGTTTACGGCGGTTTGGAGTTTGAAGACACGAGAGATCATGTGTTCAATGCTACCATCATTTTCCTGCAGGTAGGTTTTCATTCAGGTAGCCCCCTTCACCCCTCCAAATGCTACCATTATTTTCCTGCAGGTAGGTTTTCATTCAGATAGCCCCCTTCACCCCTCCAAATATTCTATAAAATTTTACCAAGTGTAATTACGTTGCTATTACCCGAATATCGCAAAAACATCCCCGGTCATGTCTGAACTTACCCACAGGGTGGAACTCTGGTAGCCGGATTTACCGAAGACGCCCCCTTCACGCATGAGCTCGACATCGTCCTCAGAGGCACCACAGACCCTAATGATCCCGACAATGTTGACATGCCCATGCCCGACGGCACACCCGACGTTGGATGGAAGGCCATGGGTAAATTGTTTTCCTTTTGTATGATAGATATGGTAGCTGTTACACAGATCTAAAGGAGAACACATTTGGCTAATACTAATAGGAAACGTTTTCTAGGTGTATTTGGCCAACTGATTCTCAACGGGCAATGTCCTTCCACCACTTGGGTCAAACTCGGAGCCACTGCTGCAGTCGGGGAGACTGTAATCACACTCGCTGAAGCTGCCGACTCGTCATGGCTCAATAAAGAGGTAAATGACTGTATTCTGTTTTTTATTCAACAGGTCTATGCTGCGTCTGAGTATACATTAACTCATTTATAAAAGGCTGAGTATTACACTGTAGAATATTACTAATGAAGGAGCAGTCAGATTCACAACCGCTATTTTCTACAGGTAATAATCACTACCACCGGCAAGGAGGCTACCGAAACCGAGGTACGGATGGTCACAGCCGTATCTGGCAACACTCTCACCCTTGATGCTGCTCTCATCTACGAACATTTAGGTAATGGAAGTTGTATACACCACTATAATAAACCATTGTGGTCTTGTGCACTTTGTGCAATCTTCCCTGTTTCCTGTATGATTTGAGGTATTATATAGGTCTTATGTCTATATATTTTTATATATCATAAATAGTCATCAAAAGCAGTTTTTTTTTTTTTTTTTTTAGAATCAACCAGCATTGTATAGAATTACCAGGCTATTGCTTTCTACGTATGACAATATTTTTATCAGTACAATTTTCTATTCTCTCTTAGGCGAGACTCACACACTTTCTGATGGAACTCAATACGTAATGGCTGGTGAGGTTGGCCTTCTCACTCACAATATCGTCATCGAAGGCAGTGACTATGCAGAGCTGAATGCAAAAGGTTTTGGAGGTCGCATCCTCGTTTCCTCCTTGACTGCAGAAGGAGTGGATTATCAAGGTAAAGGAGCGAAACAGAGAATGGAACAAGCTGAGAGCAAATAGTATGTTGATAGATAGATTTTCATTTTACAGGTGTTAAGAGGCATGCCACGACATACGTTTGACAGTTTTCATGTTTTTTTTTGTTAATGTGCTTTACATTTGTCAACAGGAAGTGCTCAGCTTTCCTGCGTAGAATTTAAGAACATGGGTCAGAAGGACTTCTCAGAATCCACCGATCCAAGGTTCTCCTTAGCTTTCCATAGTCTGGGGACTGACGATGGTTCCAACTACGTGAAGAAGTGTAGCTTCAACAAAAACTTCAACAGTGCTATTGGGTTCTTCAGTTCAAATAACTTCGTCGTTGAAAACAACGTCGTTTACTATACCGTTGGCTCTAGTGAGTATTGAACATGGCTGCATTTGAACATTCGAATGTGTATTAGTCTTGTGTAACTTGACTGCCAAGTTTGGCAAATACCATACATCACTTGACACCTTTTTGTCCACAGGCATCGTCGACGAGGGTGAGGACAACACCTTCCGCTACAACTTGGTATCTCTTTTGTTCTTCCCTGGTACATACAACGGCGAATCAGAAGATCAGTACCAGCCATGGGAAGGCGGATTTTACCTCAATAAAGCCTCTAGATCTGTACTACAGGGCAATGTTGTTGCTGGTAAGGATGGAATCAAACTTCTCAGACCTATACATTGGTGATACGCAATCATCATTTAGAATTCACACTGAGAAGCCTGCATAATTTTTTTCCACTGTTTTACAATTCCAATTTCTCTTTCATTCCACAAGGATCTGAACTTGCCGGCTACCGTACTTATGGAGAGCTTTGTGAAGAGTCCACTAACTGGGTCGACAATGAAGTCCATAGTGCGACATATGGTGTTATGGTGAGTAAGAAGTAATGTTAGTGTTTAACTTTTTCCTTAATTATATGTAAATAACTACTGCGTTTATCTGTATCTTCCTTTCAATGCTTCCATATATTTGTAGATATGGAAAAAAGGAAGCCCAATACCTATGGATTGCAGAAGGATCAATAACTTTTATGCATGGAGAATCACCGATACAGCCTTCTACATGCAAACTTCTGCAAGCCTCCATCTAACAAACGTGAGTTTTTAAAATATGTTTCACAGTGAATTCGATCCATCTAGAAACCATTGAAATAAAAAGATACCATAAGTAACATGAAAGGAAACTGTAAAACAAAGCAGCAGATAAAGAGAACATAGTAATTAATTGTACTGGACCAAATTTCACTAATTTTCACATCTTGGTTTATTACAGGTGGTTAGTGCTGACAGTCGCATTGGAACAAACCAGCTCATTTACGCTCCACCTGCGTTGAGCCACATACTTTCAACGAAAACTGCAACTACAGATAACTCCTTGTTCATCGGAGCATCACCATCTTATGACTGTACTTACCACGACTCTCAGTCCAATGCTCAGAGCTTCTTTGGGAATCTGTGGACAAAAGGCATTGATGGCGGAAATGCTGGAGTGATGCTGGCAGCCTTTGTCTCTGGACTCAACAGTAAGTCTTTTCCTTAGTAATATACCTCAGCTTTGATTAAAAAAAATAAAAAAATGCTGAAATAATTTCCATGCAAGTTATTATCTCGAAGTTGACTCTTTCCTGTATTAAAAAAAATCCTTCGCATGACAGTGGCTCCCAAGCATTCATTCCACGAAGCATCCACATACCCAGCCATCAATGGAGCCACATATATCAATGACGTCAAGTTCGCTAACTATGCCACTCGCTCTTGTGGCAAGGATGTTGCCATGATATCCAACAAAGACGCAGATGATGCTATCCACCCGGTCTTCGTTAGCGGCCTGACTTTCCTCGACACTTCGGAAAGTAACAAGCTCTTCCTGTTCGAGTAAGTCCAGGTCCTGTCAGTTTCCATGCAGGCTTCAGGAAATAAACTTGATAATGACAATGATTTGATAAAGAAAATACTGGTATTAGAAATTATATCTCAGAGAAAAAACGTGAGTAATGATGGTTAACTCTCTCAATTCTAACAGACCCAACCTTGGAAGAGTGAACCCTTCAGACTGCGTGGACATGGACTGCGATGGCCACAAAAAGGTTATAATTACTGACAATGACGGCACTTTCCTTGGTGAGTACTCTTTTAAACATATAGGGCCTTTAGAATCTCATGTTCTGCCATTCAGCAAAGCATCATTCTTTTTTAGCAGACCCCATATCATAATGTTACTCCCCAGTTCTGGTAAAAAGACATTATTTCAACAGCACATTAGCATTTTCCTTCTGTAGTCGCATAGATAAATTATCTAGATATTTTCCTCAACATTATGGTCTTAGTTAATATATCTTCCCATTTAAGCATTTGATATGCTATTACCATTTCAACAGCATATTCACCTCCAATCAACCTCATGTCCTCTATCTTTCTGAAGGTGCTGCGGGTGCCACTGCCACCTCGCAGGCCGAATTCGAGTGGGATGGAGATCCAAGTCGCGGAGTCGGGGATTACAGGATTCCAATCTCTCTTCGTCAAAATTCCAGTGGCAGTATCATTACAGCGGCGGAAAAGTACCCACATAAAGGTGTGTAATTGTTTTCAAAAAATTTATCCATAAAACTGAGATTTCTATTTAGATTTTTTAAAAACTTATTCATCACAAGCAGTGTGTTTGACCAGGTATCAGAATCAATAATCCTTCAAATCTTGGACAGGAATTATTCGTGATGACTCTTGCACTCTCATGACGGAGTGGCGAGCGTGGAAGTGCACGAATCTTAGGCACCGCATGATGGTCATTGAGAGCATGGATACAGACACAGAAATTCGTCGCTTGTCTCCCATTGGTCTCATCGCAAACCCAGGTAAGATGATCCTAGTACGCAATGATACTGATCTATCTCAGATAGTAATTAACACAAGATTCCTACACTGATCTGTATAGCTATGCAATGTTATTGTTACCAAACACTGAGAATTCCTTACACATCCAGGCGTGAACGGTTATGTGGACCTACTGAATGGGCCGATGGATCGTGGATGGTGCTTCGGCTATACCTGCCAGGAGAGAATTTCCACTTTCTATGCTGTTGTGGCTACAGGACATACTTACGAAATGGCTATGACTAGTACTCCACCTCAGGTAAGTAAAGACAAGGATGACCTATTTTAATTACCGAGGAGAGCAAATATTCTTAACCCATTCGCGCCGGGCGTCACGTATAGGTGACGGGCCCACTTTGAGTTTACTTGTTTGATTGTTTACAAACATAGATGGCTCCACTTGCACTTGTACTGCCTGTCTCGTCTGTTTACCCTTTTCTTTAATTTACGAAATAATTTTGCGTTATTTTATTTTCCTGTTACTAATGTTTATAACATTAGAGTAATTATAATGTTTATAATAGAAATAACCATCGATATTCATAGCACTAGTAAAAATACATTTTCCCGCCAAATGAAATCCGGTAAAGCAGAGCCATCTACTGTAGAGAAATTTCATTAAAAAATATAAAAAATGAGCACAGCATTTTCCCCATTTTTTGTTCATTTTTACCCGGCGCGAATGGGTTAAGATAGCTCAGACGATTATGATGTAGATGCTCTCTCCATTTTGGGAGACTAACCAGCAGGACACATTGTCACAGGTCATCCGATTCCACTTGCTCCACACGGACCCCAGCGAGGCCGTTCTTCTTCGCATGTACTTCCCGAAGACGCAAAGATTCGACATATCTGTTGACGGCATCTACGTCCCTCCAACCAACATTGACAATTCTCAATATCCAGCAAAGTACCAGCTTCTTCCCGAAAGCGATTCGTTCTTCCCTTCCATCACTGATGTAAGTTCCGTCTTTTCATGTCTTGTATCACTTACCTTGCTCATCGACCTCACTCATCTCTCTTGGGACGACTTATATTTGATTATTTATTTATTTAATTTTATCTTCTTTTTTTTGTCATCTTCCCTTCCCCTGTAGCTCTAAATTTCTTTCCTGTTTTTCTTGGTTCTTTTTTGTTGTGCTCACTGTTCAGACTTTCACATGCTTGCTTTCTTTCTGGCACCGATTTTTCCCTTCGTAATTCTGCCTTCTCTCACCCAGCCTGTAGGAACCAATTACCTGCAAAGAGAAGAAAAGCTCCTTCACGTCGTCCTACGAGGCGGGTCTGTGATAGATATCACAACGACCCCCACAATAATCCTCTCCATGGGCATTGCGGTCGACCCCGACAATTTCTTCGAAGAGAACCTCGTGCAGAATTTGGCTCTCTTGCTAAATATCGCGCCGGAAAATATCAGAGTCACCAACATCATCAGCGAGAGTTCAGGAAGGAGGAGGAAGAGGGGAGCTTTAGAGGTCGTTCAGGCAGAGGTAAGAATCAGCAGCAGACAGATAATTGGTCTTAGTGGGGTTGTATATATATCAATACCATTCTGATGTATAGTATTGATATATATGAAGTTCTATTTCGCAAGTGTGCGCAACTGAATGTCTAATATTGTTCAGCAAAATGAATGAATGCAGAGAGATTGACAGAGAAAGAGACAGAGACAGGTAGGCAGACAGAGAACAGGCACCTAAAATGTATCCATGTCATGTTTTTTCCAGTTTGAGATCGCAAGTCCACCGACCGACGCGTCCAACAGCTCGAGCGCAATCAGCGGGACTGAGGCAGAAATGCTGACTCGTGCAGATTTGGAGGAGATCATGGTAGAAGCTGTGAACACCTTCCAGTCCGGTGTGTGTGAGGTTTGCAACTTCACCATAAAGACGCTGCTGGTAAAGATTCTGATTTCCGTTTCCCAAACCTAACAGAGTTATTTGTATATGCATATAATACAAAGCGAAGAAAGGCAGTTGCGAAATCTGGTTCAGTGAATGGAGAAAAAAATAATGTTACTGCCTTACAGGTCACCCCACCTTTAGATGAACCCGAGGTGCCAACCGGCTATGCAACGCCAGAATTCGGTCAGCAAATCACAGAAAACGGAACTCTGTACAGCAACTTGCAACAGCAGGAAGACCTGTTGGCACTGAACCAGAGCATTGAGGGCACCGCCTACGAACAGCCTAGTGCCTCTTCTATAGAACAAGCAGTTCCGATCACAGTTAAAGCACTTACTCCATTTGCTGACCAACCCGTTGTCGTCGTCCTTTCAGATGAAGTACGAAATTCTCTTCTCTTCTGTTGCGTGAATCATTGGCCTTATCTTGACTCATTATTCAATATATTCAACACAGGTGTGATTACAAAACGGGGACGCATAGCCAGCTCAATCATTCGCTCGACTCTTCCTCAGGGCAATCCCATCACTGAGCTGGGCCGAGAGAGCGACCCCTGGATGATGACGGCCTTCCTCTCCGGCGGGGACTCGAGGGCGACCCTCTTGGGCAACACGACGGTACCCTACGAGGACGGGGCCGCGACCTTCAGGAACCTCGGCGTCAGCCTCCCGGGCCAGGGTTACAGCCTATCCTTCATGGTTACGAGTCCGGACTCGGCGCCAGACCTTTCTGTATCCCTTGACCAATCCTTTGTGTGAGTCGCTTTTCTTGCTTTTTGTTAGGAAAATATTCACACACACGTATGCACCCACATGCGCGGGCGCACACACACACACACACGCGCGCGCTCACACTCATATGTATATATATAGTATGTGCGTAATGAAACAAATGTGAATGGCATGACTTTTCAAATCAACTTGAATTCTAATTAGGCATAACAAGAAATGCTGTATATTTGTACACATATACATACATACACACACACACACACACACACACACACACACACACACACACACACACACACACACACACACACACACACACACACATATATATAATTATATATATATATATATATATATATATATATATATATATATATATGTATATGTATATATAATACATATATACCTATATGTATATATATAATATATAGATATGTATATATATATACATATACAACCTATACTGCATGGGTGTGCATGCGCGTATGTACTTATGTATGTGTTTTGCATCTTATGTTTGTATCTAATCAATCCTCTTTACAGGGTTGAACAAAAGACGATTAAGATGAAGATTGAGGCTCCAGAATACATCGTACTCAACCAAGATTTCAGTCTTAACATTGTCCTTATTGACGCTGATACAGGGAGTATTATGGACAGCTCAATGCTTATAGTAAGTTGTAAATGTTTCAGGCATTTTTCGTATTTTTTTATGTAGATAATTGATATTTTCCCGAAAATGTGAATGTAAATACCATGTATTTTCCATCATCAACTAACAGAAAAATTAATACATTACTATAAATCCTCAGGGTCAAAGTATTAATGGTGAAGTGAGGGCGAGGAAAAGGTCAAAACTCAGCGGCAATAAAAAGTAAGCTGAACGAGTATTATTATTAGTTCAAGTCTTGCAGTGGCTCGAGTTTAACTGTTTTGGAATATAAATGGAAATGCCACTGTGTTTTCTAGCTACTCTTGGAAGGTTTCGCGATGAGCCACCGTATATCTGAGTATTAATAGATTAATAGTAACCAGAGGGATGTTAAAGGACGTTCTTTGACAAAGGTAATCCAGGCGCTGTATTACCCTCATCAACAAATGTTTTCTTCTCAGGTTCACTTTCCAAGATGAGGACATGGCCAGCTTCTCGATTGACGGCCTTCGAGTGGGCAAAGCGCTCAGGAGATTCCGTCTTTCCGTCAAGAGCCAGATCACACCAGCTGGCATCAGCGTTGTTGGCTTAACGGACAGTACGTGGTTGCCGTTTTCGAGTTTCTTCTCTCTTTTTCTATTTTCTCTAATTTAAGTCTCTTACCATTTTTCTCCTCTATTTCCGTGTGGTCTCTCTTTCCTCTCTCTTCCTACCCCCCCCTCCCTCTCTCTCTCTCTCTCTCTCTCTCTCTCTCTCTCTCTCTCTCTCTCTCTCTCTCTCTCTCTCTCTCTCTCTCTCTCTCTCTAACCACTTACTACAAGTCTGTAAATTAATGTATAAAGGGAGTGGGGACCGAAGATGTGAATGTGGTATATACAACTCCCTTTTTATGTTTTACAGTCATACCGGTCTTAGATTTCGAAATGCCCGAGAACGCCACGACAACAACAATTAAGATGAGAGTCAGAGGCATCAGGAGTAAGGGAGTGAAAAAAGATAAAGCAACGGTAAGTCTTAGAGAAATAATAATATCAGGAGAAAAAAAAATGTAAGCAGAAGAAAGGAAAAAAGTTATATATTCATAATAGTTCAGGAAGATGAGTGAAGTAATATATACAGAATGGTAAGTTAAGAGAAAAAAACTAGATGTCAGAGAAAAAAATAAATAAATAAAAAAGATAGAGACAAAAAAAGAAAAGAAATGGATAAAGCATGCATACAAGCATACATATTTGTTACAATCAGGTATCAGGAGAAATACTAACCAAATCTTCTTTTCTAATAACAGTTCGAGAATAAGGTCATGGCTGAAATCTCAAACATAGGAGACGTGTACTGGCATAACCCTGAACTGAAAACCGGCAGGAAGCTGATTTTCTCTGTGGATGTAAGAAAACCTTTTTCCTTAGAAAATAGCTTTTATCTTACGCGCATAATAATTATCATAATAATGTTAATAGTAATGGTAATAATAATGATAATGATAACAATGATAATAATAATAATGATGGTAAAATTGATAATCCTCATCATTATTCTAATCATTATCATCAATGTATAATTATTATGGTAATATATAGCAATGTATCACTATCATTAATAGTGATATAAGTAGTAACAGTTGTAGTACAAGTTGTAGTATTAATAGTATTAGCCTTAATATTATTAGTAGTGGTAACAGTTGCAGTGATGGTAAAAGTTGCAGCAACTTTATGCAACTGAAACTTATTGATATTGATGTTTTCACCAGGCACAAGGCAGCCGGGCGAATCTAAGCGCTGCCATCGAGTCCCTCTGCATGAAGCTGAGGACAAGGAAAATCAAATTCAAGATCAACAGGAGGACCGTCTGGTTAGAGAAGATGAAGGTGGACAATGGAAAGTGGTTTAAGTGTAAAGTGAGGCGGTTCATCGAAGTGAAACAATACTTGATCGCTTAGAGGAACTTTGGCAAGGACAAGAAGTACAATTGTGAAAAGTACTGCATTTCATTTTCTGTATGTGGGTTCCTTTTTGGTTTCTAAGGTACAAAATCTACAAATCATGTTTTAAACGTATCTTCTAACATTTAAAGACTGATTTATAGATATGAATGCAATAAATGATAACCATTAAAATATATTGCCTCTTAATAAAAACGATTTATGTATACAGTCATCCTTGTCATTAGAAGTTGCTAAAAAAATCTGTGTTAATGTAATAAACCATTCAGACGTGATTATTTAAAAACTATTTCTTTGGTAGCAGAATGTTCGTCGTGTATGAAATGAGAAATAAAATTTAGCTCTGACACTTTCCTTGGAGTATTTCACATTCCTTTCTCTCAAGTAATAACAGACATTTTTACTCACAAACTGTACTTGCAAACTAATAGTTGACTGCAGACTGAAAAGATATGAAGGAAACGAAATAAAAACTCTGTGTCTATGTCTATGCCAGTGTTATCCACCTTGCAAACCTACTGTTTTTCGACTGCGAAATGAAGTTCTTAATCATCAAACCAGCAAATATGGGCACTTCGCATTAATCAGCTGGACAAGAAGGAAACAAAAGCATTCGTTATATCGCGCGCTCTTTCTCATTTTCTCTGCTTGCGTAGCTTTGGCTTTACCAACCACATATCTAAAGTAAAATAGACTATAGATATTAGGCATTATTCATCAGCAAAAGACAATAGATACAGGCAAGGTAGTGCTTATTAGCAAAAGACTATAGACGTAAAGAATCATTCGTCAGTTAAAGACTATAGATGCGAGAAAGCATTCATACAATATTTATTTTTCTGTCTAATAAAGATAATTTTCCATATCCATCCGTACATCACCAGCTGGAAGACCATTCTTATAGCAATTATGAAGATTGTGGTCTTGGGTTGAGGGTCTGATGGAAAGTAGAACCTACAAGATATCAGGCACTTGTCTAAACCCAGTGTGAAAAGGCAGACATGACGCGCAAGTCGAAAGTTAACTAAGGATTCTTTATAAACAGAAATTCACATTAACTGTATAAGAGGCACAAGTGCAAGAGAAAAAGAAAATACCAAGAGAAAATTTTAGCATTCATGAATTTCAATATTTTTTATTGAAATGATGTCATGTGATTGTATGTAAATAATTCCAGAGATAAAGTACGTGGTTCATCTCATACCCAGGAATCAATGAAAGGCAAAATTACCCGGGCAAAGACATTGGTAACAGAGCATTCACGTCACTGCAACTTTTTTATATCCTTATGAGCTATATTTCTGTGACAGAATAGCTCAAGAGAGAAAATTCATTTCCCTACGAAATTTGATCCCATCAGCCTTTTATGTACCAAAGATCAGTTACGATCCGTCGAGCCTTAGAATATATGACAAAAAACACAGCAGTAATACTGAGACGTATAACGCGTCACCTTTTGTTGAAAATGCAACTGTTATATGATCATTATCTTCCTTTTAGTGTGGTATGTTATATATTATACATATTATATATATGTGTGTATATATACACATACATATGTATATATATACATACATACATACACATATATACACATACATTTTCGGGGTCTCAGCTAATCCCTGGTGCAATTCGGAGCCTGGAATAGGGTTTCTCTTCATTAGTCTGCTCTTGCAAGGACGTACAGTTGTGATGAAGTAATATGCTATAAAAGTAATTTGTTAATCTAGGTATATATCTATTTATTTATCTATCTACTGAATATGTAGTACACACACATGAAAAAATATGAATGTTATATATTTTGAACTTAATGACTTTAAGCTGTTAAATATCTAGATAACTAAAATAGCATGTATACATACATTTCATATTTTATATTATTATGTGTGTATATACATAAACACAAGCACAAAGACACATACAAACACACACACACACACACACACACATATACATATATACACAACTTACATATGTATATAAATATATATATATATATATATATATATATATATATATATATATATATATATAAACATATATACATATATACACATATATAATTACACACACACACACACATAATTTTAAAGGTCAATGAACTTAACTGTTGATATTCAACATTTTTATACTCATACTTTTCAGCGTTAAAGTGCACTTTCCACAGTTCACTTATGAGTGAACGATTCAGTAAATATTTCTCTTCGCCAAACTAATTTTTTATCAGACATTAAACGAATTCAATGTGTCCCTCTACAGTAATATCGTATTGGATATTCAGGTTCTATTGCTTTTGATATTTCAACAGACTTTATTCACAACTCAACATGAAATTAAATTAATTCAACCCACCACGAAAATCATGTTATACAAATCACACACACACAAACAAAAACAAGGGTAAATAATAAATATAATTAATCAAGCTAAAGCAAATAAAAAAAGTCTTAAAAGTATGAAAAAGAGAAAGACTAGAAGAAAAAATAAATAGAAAAGAAAAAGGAAAAGGGAAAAGACGAAAAAGAAAAAGTGAGAGAAAACGGCACTTTGGACCTACTTGATGGCGTGGTACAGCGTCCCCAGAAGAAGAGCATTCGGTCCACCCGTGCTCTCTCCTCCGGGTCGGTTGGATACAAGTACTGCGTTTCCTTCGTGACGTATTTGTTCATCGCGTATATCATGATGGCGCTGTCGGTATAATTAATTCAACTGCAAAGGGCAAGAATTATAATAGAAGCATAATGACCATAAATTTACAGAGAACAGTTGAAGAAAAATACCGGATGGTGACAATGAAAACGTTATCATGTTTATAATGAAATTGCAGGGAAAAGAATAACAATGAAAACATAAATTTTAGAAAACAATAAATAGATAACAATAAAAACTGGATGATGATAATAAAGAAAAGGCCATGGTTATAAGGTGGGGGAACGAATGCTAATAATGAGAATAATAATACAGATAATAGTGATATTCTGGAAACAAGAGGAAATGAAAACGATTACAGTAAACTTCACGGTCCAACGAAAGTGGATTTCATTGTTAGCAATTATTTTAATTGTGTGATATGTACATATCCCCTGTTAGCCGTTGAGCTTCCAAGCCCGGGACACAGATATATGTGAATGTATACGTATAAGTGCACACATTATCTTAAGGAAAATGTACGTTGTCTAATGATAGTAAAGTGGGCTTAGTTAGGGCCAATATAATTAGCTAGTCTCAATATTTTAGCTAAATTTACAGACTCGCTCGTCAGAGGGCTTCTCCACCAACTCTCTCACGAATATATACACATTCTTTGGTGAAACCCTCTGGATATTCCAAAAGATACTCCAGATCCCCGCAACACACACACACACACACACACGTGTGTGTGAGTGTGTGTGCATATATATATATATATATATATATATATATATATATATATATATATATATATATATATGTATATATATGTATTTCTGTATATACACATACACACACACACACACACACACACACACACACACACACACACACACACACACACACACATATCTGTGTGTGTGCATATAAATATATATATATATATATATATATATATATATATATATATATATATATATATATATGTATATATATGTATTTCTGTATATACACATACACACACACACACACACACACACACACACACACACACACACACACACACACACACACACACATATCTGTGTGTTTGCATATATATATATATATATATATATATATATATATATATATATATATATATATATATGTATATATATGTATTTCTGTATATACACATACACACACACACACACACACACACACACACACACACACAACACACATATCTGTGTGTGTGCATATATATATATATATATATATATATATATATATATATATATATATGTATATATATGTATTTCTGTATATACACATACACACACACACACACACACACACACACACACACACACACACACACATATATATATATATATATATATATATGTATGTATGTATATACACATCTTTATATATACATATATATCTGTATATACATGAATATATTCACATATATATCTGTATAGGTTTGGTTGAATGTATGTGTGTGTATGTGTGTGTGTATATTCATATGTGTGTGTGTATATTCATATGTGTGTGTGTGTGAATGTATGTATGTAGGACACACACATTTATATATACATATACATAAACTTAAATACATACATGTGTATGTATATATATGTATGTATGTAAGTATATATATATGTATATGCTTGTATATATGTATGTGTATGTGTTACATACATACCTGCACAAACGCACACACATATGTATATATATACATATACAAATACACACAGATGTATTTGTGTATATACATACATATATATGTATATGAATATATATGCAATATATATATATTCTATGTATATAGAATATATATGTATATATGTATATATATATATATTCTACACACACACACACACATATACACACACAATATATATATAATATATGAGATATATATATATATACAGAGAGAGAGAAATCTCCCTCTCTCTCTATATATATCATATATATGTATATACATATTCCACACACACACATAAATATATATATGTATATATATACATATATATATATATATATATATATATATATATATATATATATATATATATATATATATATAAATAGATAGATATATAAATATGCATATATCTACATATATATATATATATATATATATATATATATATATATATATATATATATATATATACACACAATATATATATATATATATATGCATAATATATAATATATAATATATATATATACAGAGAGAGAGAAATTTCTATATATATTGTATAGCATGCTCACACACGCACAAGCGCAAGCGAGTGGGCGCGTAGACACTTAAACTGTGAAATTATGAGACGCCGCACCTATAGAGGTACACATGGCCTCGAATCTTATTTGACCGGATGTTTTTGTGACGTAAAGGTAATAATGCAGGTACCACACTATGGCAGCAGTTCTCTGGCCGATAATTAGTTATGAAATGCGGTAGAGTAATAGGAAATATTTGGCCGAGCACATACAAGCACGTAAAATCACACAACTCATATGGCCACGCTCCATACCCTTAAACAACAGATAAAAATGTCAGCCGCAGGAATTGAAGGGAGCAACAGCACTGGATGATGCAAATACAAATGCGTACAAATACGCACTGGATGATGCCGATTAGAAGAAGTGATAGGTATGCAGATACAAAGAGGCAATATCTCTTACAATATAATCCCAAGTAATGAAAAATCTGGCATACTCC